AGGACCATAGGAAGGAGCCCCATGACAACACTCAGCGAACGTCGTAAAACTTACCCTGTAGCGGATGACCGACCTACGCTACGAACTCTTACGAGTTCAGCATGTTCTACAGACTTACAGCCCTCCTCAGCGCTATCTCCCACCGAGTATCACTACCTAAGACATCTTGACAGCTCTCCCGGGGAGAAATGCTTCAAAAGCCAATATGAAGTTCTAGCGGCATTTCATCGCCTCTAAAACTTTGCACTTCTGCGGGAGCGGTACAGACTTGATTCTCGCTGGCAAAAGTGCTCTGATATCAATGGTTATTATTTCTACCCGTGAAGTGTTTTTGAGACGATATATACATTAGAAGTTTGAAGCAGAAAGCTGCAAGAACTCTTTCACATCATTATACTCAGTTCTACTTTCACCAGATGAAGATATTCTCATACAGTTCCTAGCGAAAATACAAAACGAGCCTCTGCCCACAAACCGTAAGCAGCAGCATTCTTTCCAATAACGAGAGAATCCCTACACTTAAGAAATGTAGCAGTAACCTTTTTTGGGGAACCATTTAGCAATAGGGAGAAGCAAAAAACCCACCTCCAAGAAGATGATCGGGAGATGTACATCAAATAAGAATATATCTTGTGTTTATGGCGATATCCTACTGTATATAATTCGCTAAGTATGTCTGTCCGTGTGTGTGTGTTTGTGTGTGCGTCTGTCTGTGTGTCATGAAATTCATAGCAGTATGATATAGAGGTTGAGACAGGAAGTTATCGATAGGTGACAGGAAGTGATATCAGCTGATAAGATCTGATAAAAGGCGTCAGAAGGAGATGGTCGCCGAATCCATAGCGCGGGTCACAACAATAGCAGGACGTTAGTTCCAAGGTATGATATAGGGTATGGGACAGGAACGTGATTGGTGGGTGGCAGGGAGTGATATCAGTTGATAAGATCTGATAAGAGGCGTCAGAAGGGGAGGGGCACCGAGTCCATAGCGCGGGTCACAGCAACAGTGGGACGTTAGTTCCAAGGTATCATATAAGCAACGTCACAGGATTACTATTGGCTCAGTGTGCAAACTTTTCCTTAGCCATCACTTCCTCTGATAGCACTAGAAAATGAACTCATCCTACTATATAATGTCGATGACGACGAGCTGGGGAGGAGGAGGGGAGGAGGAAGGGACCACTTTATGTGTTCAATAGTTTTTTTACTTTTGAACTTTCAATTACTGATGAGAAAAGGGTATAATACCTACAATTATTTGTACCTCAGCAAGCAGGTTGCATGGTAATTGAAGAGAGAAGCGCTAATCGGTAGGCATTCGGGCGCAGTTAATGGAAATGGAATTGTTCTTTCCTACCTGAGCGATTCATATTGCTTTGTATTGGCCGATTGTACATTGTATCCATCTAGATATAATCTACAGATTTATGTATTATTTGGGCGTTATGGCACAGACCACACCATTGCTGTAAATATAAGCGTGTGCTTAGGAGTGCAGGAGCTCTATCTGTTACGATTCGATCGCTACAGCGCCGTATGAGCAGCCCACTGTCGAAAAAGTTGCGTTCAAATTATGCGCGCCTGGCGAAGCCAGGCCAGCTCGGCGAAGCCGAGCTAAAGAGAAGGAGGAGAGCTCGGCGTCAGCCGGGCGATCCGACTGGTATATGTATAAAAAGGGAAGAGGTAAAGAGAAAGGTGCAAAACCGCTATCAATCTGTTTGCATGCATGTTCGTCTCATTGCGAAGAAATCACGTTAAAAAATGACTGACCGGCCATGAGATTCATCAGAGCATACATCCCGACACATCCAAGTCCACCAATGCCATAAATATAACCGAACGTCATTTTTCCATGAAGAAGTAATGCGAATCCTAAAAAAGAACAGATGATTGAAGAAAGTCGCGACACCCTAACACTGAAGAATCTCACCAAAGAGCAAGCAAAACACAAGAGGTCCTGCTAGGTCCTGATCTTCTATAACTTCTGGTGATGCGCTACCAGCTGGGTTCAAAACCGCGAAGGTTTTTTCTTTTATATGCGAGAAATTGATCCCCAGTTCTTCGAGTAATGGTGGCTCATTCTCATAATCTTCACCATCGCCACCTCCTGTGCCTGAAAGCGGGATGTTTGAGGAATCAGTGATTCAGTAAATATATTCTGATCAGAAGAAATCACAAGTTCTAATGTAATGCACTGACTTCACGAGGTGCATCCTGGGAAAGGAATTTCTGAGCGCTCGACTTGAGTAAAAAAAGGACAGCTGTGCAGAACTTTTCGAAACTCGGTCCCTACAGTTAATGGAACAAGTGCAATAGTACGTAGGTAACGCCAAAACAGCCGTCTATGCAAAAAGAAGTACGACCCTTGATATGTACCCATTATCACCCAAATAGGCGAAGGTGCTCTAGAGGCAAGTGGCGCATTTACCACATTCGGTTCAGGGAAATCCCGGATCGACTCCCACCCAGGCCAACCAAGTATCCCACGACCCACTAGATCCGTCGAGTGAAAACTGTCTAACGGATTGGCCCTCCACTACTGTTGAGGCCGGAATGCGACAACAATTGGTGGAAAACGGTGTCGCGCCCAACCAAGCCCTTTGGTCGGGCGCCAGCGTTTGCAGCAAAAACGACCATAGAATGACTTACAGTAAAATCACTTCAAAGCAAATCACAAAAAGAAAAAAAATTGCACCTCCAACGCCAGAACTTGGGACAAACATCTGACCACCATAAAAATTCTGAGACTGGGCATATGGATTTTGCTGCTGATAATAGTTTTGATCTGAAAGGTTATTCTGGTTAGCAAGCAACAAACAATAACACCACTGAGGTACTTACTGCTACTATATTGGTTAGCATCCTGTTGTTGTTGTTGTGAGTAGTCGAATTGTCCCCAACTCATATTGGGTTGAGATGCTCCTTGACCCTGCCCATACCAAGGATCCTGCTGTTGACCGTCATCCAACCAGAGATTAGACATGATTTACCCCTGGAACGAAGTAACTATGACCTCTTAAAACAAAGAATGAATGAAACGCATCTTACTGTGATGAAGCGACTTAGTAAACGAATAATAAGAACCAGCAAGTGTGGGATATTGGCTCCGAACTCAATAAGGTAGAAACGTATTTCTACAGATAGAAATAAGCCCGTTTAAGCGACTAATAAACAACACCAAACACTAGACCAACGCGGACAACTATAAAATAAAAGCTGCCGTCTGTTGGGTAGTGTTGGTCGAACACTCGGACAAGAGCCGCAGGCCGACGACTTATATTATAGAGGTTCAGGGCACATCGTTGGTTGGGAGTCCCCAACAGG